ACCTTCTCCTCTCACCTGCTCTTTCACCACTCTGACATCGACTGTTCCATAGCGAACCCCAAATCCTCCTAGAATGCCCTTCCCCTGGATACTGGGACTACAACGAAAACAGCAAGAGCCAAAAGCAAGGCAGCACTAGACACAAAGCTAAGCAAGTTCCCAGGTCCCCTTGTACCGTCATGAGGAATCCAGTGTCCTAGACCCATTTAGCATCAGGAAGAGGTACTTGTAAAAGCACTGTCAGGTGTATCTTTCCTCCCAATTTTCACATTCCCTCCTGACATGAGAGGGAAGCTTAAGAGACCCAAGACATGTATAAGACTCAGTAGCTCACAAAGCTTACAAGACTCATGAGGCCCCTTCAGGAGGTTGTAAGACTAGTAAACAGTTTTTGAAGAAGGACTCTTAAGTGGTGTAGCTGCAAAAATGTTGCACAGGGGAGTGACTCCGGGGAAGCAGCTTCCGGGAGACATCACTCATGCTGGGGTGGGCCTTTCGGTGATGGACCTGCCTAAGAGTCACTCATGGGAGTAACTCCAATAAACTCACCAAGAGGGATGGAATTGCTTCTTTGGTCTGTTTCTTTCCCTGCATCCGGAGTGAGTAAGCATTTCTGTGTCTCCCAGAAAAAGGAATGTAGTACACAGAGTACAGACCTGACTAGAGCAAGAGACTTTGGGAAATACTGAATAAGGGATAGTCATTTATACAAATGCACCATACATGCATCTATGCATGAAGTGTATTGAATGCTGTTCTGACCATTTTCAGATCTGCAGACATCTGAGAGAATATGTTGTGTACACGTTTAGAAAATTGAAGCCTTGAATGTTGATGCATGCCTGTAATCCCAGGAGTCAGGAGACTAAAGCATCACAAGTTCCAGGAGTCAGAAGTAGAGGAATCATGAGTTCCAGGCCAGCCTAGGCTACATAGTGAGACCCTGTCTCAAAAAAGAGAGAGTAAGAAAGAGAGGGGGAGGGAGAGGGGGAGAGAGGGGGGAAGGGAAGGGAAGGGAAGGGAAGGGAAGGGGAGGAAAGGGGAGGAAAGAGAAGAGAAGAGAAGAGAAGAGAAGAGAAGAGAAGAGAAGAGAAGAGAAGAGAAGAGAAGAGAAGAGAAGAGAAAAGAGAAAAGAGAAAAGAGAAAATTGTAAATAAAAAGCAGAAGTCTTCCTTGTGTCTGTGGGCTCCTCTGCTCAAAGGTAGTCATGGTTAACATTTTGTTGCCATAGCTTGGGGGTGAGAGAGGGTGAAAGCTGCCCCTGAAGTTTCCTTCTTGGTTTCTTGGAGACTGTGATTCCATCATCAGAGAGATTCTTCCCTAATACCTCCTGTGTTGCTCAGCCTTCCTTCCTTCCCATGTACAAAAAAGGCCATGACCCATCCCCCCAACCTACCCTACTCCACATTGTACTTTTTGAGCTGAAGTGACTCTGAATCTAAAGGCTAGCAAGCCGTTAGGGAATGTCCCATGCTGGAGGTCATGCCCAAATTCCTTTCTTCCTGAAGTCTTGCCCTATGGTTGTGAGGCAGCTGTGGTGAGCAGAAAGGCACCAGGAACATGGATGGCAATTACGCCTTCTGTCGAAGGAGCCTTTGTCTAAGGAATGTCTTTCATGTCAGGAGAGTTATACCCTCTGTCAGGCTGACAGCATCCCTGTCTTCTCACCCACAGAACTACAAATTAAACACACCCAAACACCCTTCCTGTACAATTATATAATACTAGAGAAAACAGAGAACAACACAAGCTATTTTATTAAAAAGCCTTGGTTTTGCTGAATATTCTGTGTTCCCTATTCTATTAGAGGACAGGAAGCGAGGGAGGCTGAGGCAGTCCCCTGGACTCACACTGAGCCTCACAACACAGGCAGCATTCATTTGCCCACAGAGATAAGAAGACATCTCGGGCTGTTGGGTCCAGAAGATCGAAGAAGGCCAGGGCTGCCTGGAAATATGCATGCTTGGGGAAAATGATAATGATCATAATAACAGTGTTTATTGAGCGTCTAAAATGTACCAGGTATGTGACATAATAAAAAGTGGATACTTCTTTCCCATTTTACAGATGAGAAGACTGAGAAACTGTTGCTACAGCAAGCTTGACTCCATAGCACTTCCTCTTACCCAGTGGGTAAAAATGGAAAATCGAGGTGAGCTTGAGTAGAACACCAAGTTTGGCTTTACTCAGACAGGCAAGGGGAATCCAAGGAGTAGAGGAGATTGCTCAGGCCCCCAAGGACTTCCTTCCCAGGACTTTCTTCTTCCTGACTCTTCTAAGAAGGCGAATACACACTTGCCATGATCACGGGCGATGGCTGGCTATGTCAGATCCATTCTCCGACTCTAAAGTTCTGAATTATCCCTTTGAAAAACTACCCATTTTTTTTTAAAGAAGAAACACATTTGCTCAGTTTTATTCCTTGTCTTTGGATAGCACACAGAAGCCACTTAGAGCTTAATATTAACACTGTACATCAATGTCTGCTGGGCTCTAAGTGGCGCGTGTCATACTGCAGCCATCTGCAAACTGAATAAATGAGCCCAGTTCCTTTAAGCAGCAAAGTGGGAGAACTCGGAGAGAAGTCGTATTCTGCCTGGGATCCCTGCGGGAGGTCAAGTGTCACAGTGTTCTATTTGTAGGGATATCAGAGACCCACCCCTGGCACCTGTGTGGCCACCGACCTTAGCTCTGCAGTTGGGCAAAAATCAGTTCTATGTCTCAGTTAATCCCGAATATATGCTAGTGACACCCAAAACTCATTAAACAGCAAAGGGAGCTTTCAAGCATCAAGTCAACTCAGGCCCTAGACCATGCAGCCATCTACCCCAGACCACGGCACAGACATTGGTGATCATTGCCCTTTTCTTGTCCATTGCTCTGGTTCCCCTCCTTCCTCTCTTCTTCTTCCTTCCTTTCTTTTCTCTCTTTCCTGTGCCTGGATTCCCAAGACTCCTTCTCTTACCTGTCTAGCTCTTCCCTTGTGGCCACTCAATTCCTGTTCATCTGTCACTCTTCCCAGAAGATAGCCTTTCATGGATGCCCTCACCTCTTTCCTTGTTTGAGACGGGGCCACTTTTTTTGTTGCTTCTCTTCTGTGTACATCAAGCTAGATGGCCCATGTGCTTCCAGCAATTCTCCTGGAATTGCTCCACCACCCACCTCCTCATAGGAGCACTGGGATTACTGATGCATGGGTCACAGTCTGAATTCCCTGTGGGCGCTGAAGATTTGAACTCAGGTCTTCACGCTTGCACAGCCAATGCTTTCACCCACTGAGCCATCTCCCAGGGCATTTCTATGTATTCTTTAAATGAAAATCAAGACTCACAAGTGGCTTAGCTGAAAACAGAAACAAGGCTTGTTTTTTCTATCCTGTGTCATCTCTACCTCTGGGGCTTCGTCACTCCAGCTGCTAAGGAGCACTGACCTCAAGAGGATATTTCTCATGGGGACCAGAGCAGCTGCTGTTGGATCACCCCCACAGTGATCAATACACTAACTGGAAATTCATTTATTCTTGTTCCTGAACCCTGCAGTTCCTCTTACAAGGATTCACAGAGAAAGGTTCAAGTGCAACTAAGAAGCTTTAACTTCATGCTATTTGAAACAATAACTTTCCATTCTTCCCCGAACAAAAACCTCACAGAGATGACTACAAACCTTACAAAGTTGTCGTGACCTCTTTGCTCAGCATAGGTTTGAATGGGTGGTAAAGGAAGAGCTGGCTGGCCCTGGAGAGCAGGAACATAGAGGCAACTTTATGGATAGAGAAAGAGGTATCTTCTGACATCCAATGCAAATTCCCCAGTCTTACCAAGTAGGCCCTTCCCTCAGCTCCCTGTAGACCTGGGTAGACATATTCTGTCTTAATAGACCTCCAGACACAGCTCTAGGTTACTCTATAGTGGTTTCTCAGGCTGGACATTGACTTATCTCCATTTACCAGCAGCTTCTGACCCCATATTTGAGAGGGGAGGATGATTCTGTCCCTAGGCACCATCTCTCTGGTATCACCCACGCAGCACAGACTGATAAGTGACTTATTCCTGAAAGTAGGAAGGGTGCCACCCTATAAATTTAGTGGGGCAAATTGGAAGCATAGGGGCACATGGGCATATTAAAATCAAATCAGATTACCAGACCTAGGGATTTACCAGACATGGCAGACCAGAGAAGGGCTGTGACTCTTACTTGGGGTCATAAAGGGCTGAATGCAGTACACAGTTGGGACAGTCCTACATTAACCTATCATCTGATATCTGGTATGAGTATAAAGGACCACCAACAGGTAAAGAACTCTCAAATGTCCCTAGGGCTTCAGCTTGGCTCAGTCCCCTGCTCTTGAGATGGCTTATTCAGCTGCCACTGGTCCGTTCACCTACTTGCCCATCTGGACCTGAACCAGCTGTCTCCTACTCCAAACTGTTTTTGCCCTCTTGTCTCCGCAGCTGACTGTATCATTGCTCTCAATCTTGACTCTCCTGAAGCCTGATCTCTACAGAAATAGCTTCTTCTCTGTGGCTCATTTGGGTTTTCCTATCTCATCAATACAGATCTTCATTTGCCTCAGCCAGATTACCAATAAAAGAGATTAGCTAACAAATGGATGTCTGCTGTGGGATGTCTTTCTATATGCTGTGAATATGTGTTACTCCCATTGACTAATAAATAAAGCTGTTTTGGTCTATGGCAAGGCAGCTTAGAGGCAGGCAGGAGGTCCAAGCAAAGATACAGAGAGAAGAAAGGAGAGTAGGAGGAGATGCCTAGCTGCTGCCCAAGAAGAAGCAAGATGCCAGCAGACCAGTAATGCCATGGCCACGTGGCAAAACATAGATTAATAGAAATGGGTTAATTTAAGGTGAAAGAGCTAGCTAGTAAGAAGGCTGCTGTAGGCCATACAGTTTGTAAATAACATTAAGCCTCTGAGTGATTATTTTATAAGTGGCTGTGGGATCGCTGTGCTGGGCAGGATCAGAGAAACCTTCTGGCTACAGATGTCATTTAAATGGCTGTACCATGTGAATTTATTGTTATTCAATAAAATCTGACATTGTGAAAAGACACAAGCATGCTTGTCTGTTTCTCATGACAGGTCTAACAACCTAGCTAGGCTCAGCCACCTGTCCTCAATGGGCCAACTCAAGAGATAATGATAGTGAAAAGCAGAGAATGGAGACTGACTCAACGTGGCTGCACTGGGGAAACAAATTAATAGAGAAACCCAATGACCCTTCAAGTTCATCTTGGGGGTCCTGGCATGAGGTTTATGTTTAACTAGAAAGATGATGTATACAAAAGTAAGCTGTTCTAGTCAAGGTGTGGTCCCAACCGTCCACATTGTTTCAGCCCCAGTCTCTCCTGCAAGGTATTCCCCAGTCTGTGGTGGCTCGCCAATACCTTCCCTGCTGCATCTTGTAAAAGGTCTTTGGGTTCAGGATAAAACTTGGAAATTGGAGCCCGGATTCCATCACTGTTTTTGTCATGGGACCTAAGACGGCAAAACTTGTCGAGATATTTCATGTTACATTCCCACGGAGTTTGTCTCAGGATCTCGTTGGGCATCGATGACCTGAAAAAAAAGATGCCTGTGTGTGAGGGAGGCATCTAAGCGAACATGACAAAACATACAGACTGTTTGCCAAGGATTCTGTAGGTGGTTGGATGTCGAGGGGAGAGGACCATGACAGTAGCAAGCCACCAGAGAAGCCGGGGAAGGGGGACGCACCTCATCTCACCCCACACTGCCGCATGGGGACCAGAAAACAATTTCTGTACACACCCCCACCCCGCCATGCTGTCTGTGAAAGGGAGATAGCTGGATTAGCCTTGAGTTTGCATCCGGTCACTCACTTGAATGTCAATGAAGGGGGCAAGATTTCCCTTCGAGGCCTTTTTCATCCAATGGCTCCTGCATAAGCTCAGGTGCGTGTGGACAGGAGACTAAAGATCTAATTAGATCTAAGTTATAGCTTATCATTTTTCTTATTTTTATTTTTAATTTTACGTATGTGAGAGCATGCCCCTGCATGTGTATGTTTTCACATGCACGCGGGTGCCTGCAGAGGCCAAAAGAGAGCATCCGATCCCCTGGAGCTGGAGTCAGAGGCAGCTGCGAGGTGACTGACATGGGTTGTGGAGAACTGAACTCATACTCTGCTTGAACAGCAAGAGCTTTTATCACCTGAGTCATCTCTCCTCCAGCCCCTCTTCAATGTTTTTGTGCTTATTTAAGTGGTGTGTGTGTGTGTGTGTGTGTGTGTGTGTGTGTGTGTGTGTGTGTGTAATATTTGTGGAGACTAACCTCTCATGTGGGGGATCTCTGTAAATATAACAGGCTGACTCAAGCTGCTCCAGGAACACAAATGTTAACCATGTAAGCTTGACAGTCTAGCCTGGTGTCCCTCAGCTCCCAGAGTCCAGCCCCAGGACAGTCCCTGCTTTCATCCTGCACAGGTCTATGAGCAGTCCCCTGCCTGCAGTCTCCCCCTTGGAACATCATCTGACACACTCCTCGGAAGGTTCTCAGGCCAGCTGGGACCTGGACAATAACTGGGAAGACTCTCGAGGGCATTTGTGAATGCAGATTTAGAGAGAGAGATTAGGCACACCACAGAAGGAGACAGGAGGAAGATGGCCCAGAGCTCCTGTGCTGGGCTTCGCCCCTTCCTTATCAGCTTTGAAGGGAGAAGAAGAAAAGAGGATTATTCCATCCCCCTTTTTTCCAATAAGCACTGGAAGCATGAGGACTTTGAGTATAATCTTTATTGACTCCATCTGCCAGAGAGAGAGAGAGAGAGAGA